ACAGGATTCTACTGTAGCAGAGGGTTTCAAGAAATACTGACAAAACTGCAGAACGACATTCTCAAAACAAGGAAACGTTTGTGGAGCTTATTCAGACGTTTTCAAGCTAAATCATAGATTTGGTACCTCTAGGACATTATATACAGTTTACATCACATTCACAGGTACATATAAAGATCAGTCCATTTATATTTAAGTCAAGGATGAGACCTCAGACTTCAATTTGACGACTGAGAGTCTCAGTCGGCAGCAGAGGTTAAACATGAGGACGGGTCTGATGCTCTGATCTCTGAGGCCGTAGATGAGCGAACTCAGACATCTGGGCACAATGAAAGTAAACATATAAACAAAACTTTGGAGGCGCACAAACACAATCCTGGTCACTATTGTTGACAGAGAGATGAGCAGTGGGTTGTAAATGGTGGAGGAGAGGCTGAGGCCCAGCTGCACCAGATGCAGCAGCAGCGTGTTTCGAGCCTTTTGGGCTGAAACTTTGTCTGCAGAGGCCGACCTGGCTGCTGCTGCAACACCGATATAGGAGGAAATGATCACCACAGCAGCTGATATGAACAGAACACATGTCACAGTTTTGCTATAAGTATGAGATATTGGTCCAGCAAACACTGCTATGACAGAACAAATTTGCTTCATCTGCAGACTCTGCAGGTGTTCAGAAGGAAAGATTACCAGTAGAAGAATTCGAATGAAAACATTTAGAGATGAAAAGGTCCAAACCAATACGATCGACACGCTTGTGTTTCTGATAGTGATGATGTCAACATGTCTCAGTGGGTAACACACAGCTACATATCTCTCCACAGACATCACCACCAGAGTGAGAGGAGAGATAATGGTCGTGAGTTCAGCAATCACAGTCAGAAGTCCACAAACAGGATACGTCAGTGTTATTCTACAAGCAGCCAACAAGAACAGAATCTGACTCAGAATAAGTTGCACAGTTTCTGCAAACAGGAGGTTATACAGCAGAATGTAACGGGCAGTCTCACAAAACACAGCTTTACTCCTCAGAGTGAACAACATGGTCCCGTTAATGTAGAGAAACACACAAGCCGGAGCTGTAGTTACTGTGGAAATCATCAGCCTCTCCAGAAAGCCCTGATACTGCAGCTCAGCAGCTTCATTGCTCAAAGAATCATTCTCATGTGGCATATTAAAGACGCACTGAACCTCCTAATGTCCCTGGAAGCAAAACACGAAGAAAATCTGTCAGTTTGTATTCCAACAATCAAGATCCAGAGTCAGCACAGACGTCTGTTGAGTCTGCAGGTTGGAGGCTGTTCTGGTTTCCCAGCAGGCAGAACTGGACTGCAGAGTTTTCCACCTTCACACACTGTTTATGAGCTTTGTCCTCACAAACACCTTTCGTGACTTCATCACATGTCCACAGGGTTAACAGCCAATCAACAGGTATAGTGACATGAGAATAGAAGAGCTCTTGTGTCCTTGGTGGCATATGGTGTTTTCATTTGATGTTGTTTGGTGTTGTTGGGTCAGTCTAGGTCAATTTAGATTGAATCCAGGGACCAATCCTCCCTGGGAAGCCCTAATATGGTTTCAGTATTATGAGTAATAAAAATAACCTCTCGAGCCATGAAAAGTGGTAAAGACACAGACAACAGTGATTCCTTCACATCCAATTGGCTCCAGCTGATGCCAATTCTTAAATTATCATCCCTTGAAATTGCAAAAGAAATTACAAAATTTTCAAACGAGGATGATCCAAGGGCCCCAGAAAGTTCCTGTAAGTGTGTATATATGAATGTGTCAATTTTTCCTCCTGAATATAAAGTCTTTGGTAAACATTTGACTTACCTTTTAGGCCTCTAAAATAAGTATAACTTAATGTGTGGCACCTATGGCAAGCCAAGGTTCCAATTCTTGCTATTTTGACAAAATGGTGATGTGGACTCATTGGTAGGACCAAAGCAAAGTGGTCGATATATTGTCATTCCACACAATCAGTTAGAATCATGATTGTTAATTTAATGCAAATAAGTCTTATGTTGAAGATGACCGAAGACTTTGTCAGGGATCAGCTGTGGCTACAAGTCTGGCAAACTCCCAAAAAGCCCCCCTTAAGAATGAAGTAAAAGACTGGGAGCAATGTAGGTCTTGACGGTCGGAGCGCATGAAAACATCATATGCTTGCAATGACCAAATGCCCATGGCCTCAATTGTGTGTCATGTCAGAATGGGCACCTCCATATCCTCCACCATCGTCCTCAACTAGGTGTTCCTCAGGGCTGTGTCCTGAGTCCAGTCCTTTACACACTGTACAGCCATGACTGTGTTGCCACCCACAGCTCCAACACCCTTATCAAATTTGCGGATGACACAATCATTGTGGGGTTGATCAGCAGTCACAACGAAGCACCATACAGGGAGGAGGTCCAAGCACTGGCGGCCACCTCAAGCTCACCACCACAAAGACAAAAGAAGTCAGAGCCCCTCTGCAGCAGGGGAGACCAATGCAGGTGGGGGCTCAGGAGCAAGAGCAGCTAGGGTAGTCTCTGTGCCAGGGGGATCGTCATCTCACTCTGGTGGGAGTCAGCAGCCTGAGCCGGTAGAAATGGCGTTGGCCAACTTGGTAACAGGAACAGGATCAGAGGCGGCGTCGACCACTCAGGAACAAGAACAGAGGTGGCGTCGACCCGCTCGGGAATAGGAACAGAGACAGCGTCGACCCGTCTGGGAACAGGAACAGGATCAGGTGGTGAGATGGTGTCGACCCGCTTGGGAACAGGAACAGGATCAGGTGAGACGGCGTCGACCCACTCGTGAACAGGAACAGAGGCGGTGTGAACCCACTCGGGAACAGGAACAGAGGTGGCGTCGACCCGCTCGGGAACAGGAACAGAGACAGCGTCGACCCTTCTGGGAACAGGAACAGGATCAGATGGTGAGATGGTGTCGACCCACTTGGGAACAGGAAGGGAGGCAGCATCGACCCGCCTGGGAACAGGAACTGGATCGGAGGCAGCGTCAACCCGTCTGGGAACAGGAACTGGATCGGTGGTGGCGTGGACCCGTCTGGGAATAGGAACTGGAACTGGACTTAAGGATTTCTTTGTAAAAAGACAAATGGTATAAAGTTGTTAGCTGTACCTTGACATGTTTTGCCGTCTTATCCGTCGCCTTCTTCAGAAGTGTCATCTGACGTGTGTGATGTGTCTTTATCAGCTGTTGTTCCTAGGTGTGGCCAAGCTGACAGATGCAGTGGGTGTGTCAGTTTGGCCCGATGGCCTCTGGAGCAGAGCGTCCCAGGTGTGGGGTAGAGAGAGCGCTCCATCATCTCTATTAATTGTGTGTGAGCCTCGCTTTCTGATTCAATGGCCTCCCGGATCCAGCGCCTGTATTTGTGCTCCTCAATCCCTATGATCCTCGCGTCTTCCCAATTCATCACGACTTTCCTGTTTGCAGTGATCTGAGATGGCAGTTTTTAAGTTTTCCTGTTTGGCTTTTGTTTTCTCCAATCTTGTGAGACGTCCAGTAGCTTCTATTTTACATTCTTTATACCATTTGTCCAATTACAAAGAAATCGTTAAGTCTATTAGTACATTGACGACAAAATGTACATCTTTTCTACATTACGTAGGAACTGGAACTGGCTCAGTGGCAGTGTCAACCCGCTCGTGAACAGGAACAGGATCAGAGGCGTCGTCGACCTGCTTGGGAACAGGAACAGAAAAGGCGTCAACCCGCTCAGGAACAGGAACAGATACGGCGTCGACCCGTTCGGGAACAGGAACAGGATCAGGTGAGACGGCATCAACCCGCTCGTGAACAGGAACACAGGTGGCGTCGACCCGCTTGGGAACAGGAACAGAAGCGGCGTCGACCCATCTGGGAACAGGAACAGGATCAGGTGGTAAGACGATGTCGACCCGCTCGGGAACAGGAACGGTGGTGGCATCGACCCGTGTAGGAACAGGAACTGGATCGGTGGCGGCATCGACCTGTCTGGGAACAGGAACTGGATCGGTGGCGGCGTCGACCCATCTGGGAACAGGAACTGGATCGGTGGCGGTGTGGACCCGTCTGGGAATAGGAACTGGAACTGGCTCACTGGCGGCGTCGACCCGGCTCGGTGGCGGCGTCGATCCTTCCGGGAACAGGAACAGGCTCGGTGGCGGTGTCAATACTTCAGGAACAGGAACAGGAACCAGCTCGGTGACGGCGTCAACCTGCCCGGAGAGGGCCAGTGACCCCCACAGCCAGGGTTTTTGTACTGCTACATCAAGTGCTAAATCCAAATAAACCTGTTTTAGGCTGGGGGTTCCAGCCATTTTTTATTTTTTTTAAAAAGGAACATATACACACATTTGATGTGGATGAATATCGTAATGGGCTTGGGGTTGAAGACGCCATCATCTACCTGCTTCAGAGAGCCCACTCTCATCTGGACCAGTCGGGCAGCCCTTTGAGGGTCATGTTCTTTGATTTCTCAAGTGCCTTCAATACTATTCAGCCTGCTTTACTATGTGAGAAGCTCCATAACTTCCAGGTGGATCCTTCCACAACCACTTGGAT